CCATAGTACCCAACTCGAGCTGTTGCCGTTCCGGTGAACATGCCAGAGTTTAACAAGTCCTCCTGCTCATTCCACTTCTCTTCCTGACATCCAGAGACCTGCGTTCTGCATCTTATCAGCGAACGAACCACCCCCCTCCCCTCTCAACTCCCTTTACAAATGCCAAACTCCATCTCATCCGAATCAACCAACTCACAACTCATCCTTCTCATCTACAACAGCAGCAGCAGCCTTGCCCTCCTTCCCCATCCCCTCAAGCCCCTTCTTCACCATCGAGCTGAGAACCTCATAAACAACCTGCGCCGCCGCCAACGCCGTCTCCTCCCCGGCATTCTGATACGCAGGGCTCACCTCCACAACATCGGCACCCACCAAATTCAACCCCTCGATGCCCCTCAGAATCCGAATCAGCTCGCGCGTCGTCCAGCCACCGGGCTCAGGCGTGCCCGTACCAGGCGCGAACGCCGGGTCCAGCACGTCGATATCGATGGACAGGTACACGGGGTCCTCGGTGCCCAGCGTCTCCATGATGGATTTGACGATACCCGCGGTGCCAATCTCGTCAATGTCGTCGGCGGCGATGCGCACCCAGTTCTGCGCCGTGTCGTCGTCGTGGTCGGTGAAGTCGGTGCCGGAGAGGCGGGTGCGCAGGCCCGCGTGGACCGAGGGCTGGCTCGAGGCGTTGGAGAGGAGGCCTTCGTTGCCGGCCATCCAGAACATGGAGCCGTGGTTGAATTGCGTTGCGGTCCAGTAGGAGGGGTACTTTGCCGGGTGCCAGGTGTCCAGGTGAGCTGTGTATTTCGTGATATACGTCAGCCATACCATTCTTTCCCAAGCATCTGTGACGTGATCCCATTCCTTCGCTCCGTCTGCCCGTCTCGCTCCACCTCAACAGGGACACGAAAAAACTCACCGTCAAAATGCAACACCCTCAACGGCGCTCCGTACGCCTCCCTAAGTGCCCTCAGCGCGGGCAGCGCGAGACTGTGGTCGCCGCCGAGGGTGATGAGCTTCGGCCTGCTCAGCGAGCTCGACACGGGCCTGCGCTGACCCAGCTCCTTGAAGGCGGCCGACATCTGCTCCACGGCGACGACGTTGTCCATGGGCGTGACGGGTATGTCGCCGCAGTCGAGGATCGTGGCCCAGTTGGCGTACGGGTTGATGCTCGCGCGCGGGTTGAAGCCGCGGAACGACGTCTGTCTGCTCGAGGCCTGGCGGATGGCGCGGGGGCCGAAGCGGGCGCCTTTTGAAACCCAGTCAGTACCTTGTTGGCAGTAGCAGCGATTGTGAGTTGGTGAGGTGTAAGATGTGCCGTTGCGTGGCGAGAGAAAGGGGGAAGGAGGGGAACATGTTTCCCGCTCACCTGGCCTATAGCTGACAGCCGTGTCAAACGGCGCGCCGATGATGGCGATATCGTACAGCTCGGACGGCGTCGTCAGGCACTTGACGTGCTTAAGATGAGCGAAAGAGCCGATGCCCGTGAATCCTGAATCAACATCGTGAGCCCCTCAATGTTCTCCTCTCATAACCCATTTGCTCTCCTCTCCGGTGATTGGTACTAACCCCACTGAACAAATATCAAGTTAGCCCTCCATTCTCTCATCTCATCACCAAGCAGCAAGTCAACGACTTGTGAAGACATCCATCCGACGTACCTCGAAACCCCATTTAGCCTCCAACTCGTCCAGCTCGGCCTTGGTCCACTCTTTCTCGTCGCCGTGGTTGCCGCACGCGGCGGCCAGCAGGGCTGACGAGCAGCCCAGCAGGAGAGACGTCAACTTCATGACGGCTAGGTCTCGTTGTTGTTCTGTTTTTCCCCTGTGATGTTTCCGGCACCCGAGTCGTTGTGACAATCACAAAGTAAGAACGGTCGTGAGAGGGGTTGTCAGGTGATGACGAGAATAGCGAGGATGAGAGAATCCTCAATTCAGGGCAAGTCTATCAGAAAGGAAAGAAGCAACTCCTTTTAAAAACGAGGGAAACCGGGCCAAGGTATATCGGGGACCGGAAGCGTTCAGAACGGGTCACACACCTCGACCGGCCCGGCGCGGGTTTGCGCGCGCACGCGCCCTTTGTGGTTGTCCAATTCGAATGGCTAGACCGACAACTCGCTTCCCGTGTATTCGGGGGATATACATAATGGATCTTCTACTTGCACTGAATCCCGCCTATTGCTTGTTCATTATTGGCCAACGGGCATTGCATCTGACGATATTTACCCTACTCGATAGCCCCAAAGTTATGAGCTTACTTTACGTACATGGTGGGACACGGTAATCAGATCCGGGCTGTCACCAGGAAAACCCAGGGTTAAAGGTGATGACTTTTGTCACCTTTTGGCATTCAGTAAACCCAGCGGAGAACGTCCGGCGGGGAAGGTCTGATGTGGGGGTTGCAGGAGAGCTTCCTCAGCCAGTCGATAACGGGCATCTATCGTCCGAAAAGAGTGCGAAGAACCCCGCCGATGCCGGTAGTGTAGACTGAGTGAGGAAATAAATTGTCAACGAATGCATTAGACTAAAACGCCTGGATGCGGTGCGCCGGGCTTTCTCCAGGATGCCAGTAGTAAGGTAGAGGTAGACCGTAATATGGCGGGCAATGCGGGGTCGGTGGTGCATCGTTCCTGGCCGCCGGCGCGCGGTGGGGATCATGGAGCCCGGATATGTAACTACACGGTATCCGATCTCTTCCCGGGAGGTGGGGTCTCCCGTTAAGGATGGGCACGTCGGGGTGGTGGGACACCCACCTCGAGAGCGAGCGAGAGAAAACGCCCAATCGCAAAAGTGCGATATTAGGTGCTCGTTTATTTCATCATCTTCAGCGTCCCAAGTTGTGGTCCGTGGATGAGGTGAAGATGGTGGGCTGCAGAAGGTCCCTGGACCGTACGCCCAGAGAACCTAATGCCATACCTCACATTAGTACAAAAGCGACTCTTCCCCCAAGGAACAAACTCCCCAGATCCCTCGAAGCCTGAACCACATCCGGATTTTCCATTATTCCTCTCGAACCCCCCCTGTCTACCTCCATTACTCACGTACTTTAACATCCTTTGCGCTCCCCGCCTCAAATCTTCCAGGTTCCCCAGGGAAACCCCATGAACGCCCTCGTGGCGTTCGCAACGCGTCTCGAACATAGCCTCCGTCACGGTTGCAGACACCGCTACCTAGGCTAGGTACGCAGCACCACAGGTGTGTTCGTAGGTAGGTAAGCAACGTCAGAACTTGGAGCGAGAACTTGAAAAAGGGGGATGGTGTCGCCGTGTATGTGTGGCTTCGGAGGCGGGTAAGACAATAACGCCTCCTTCTGCCTTTCTCTCTCTCGCTCTTTCTCTTTTAATCTCTCCTCTCTCCATCAATCCATCAGCCGTTCCATCTCTCTTGAAAGAAAAAGAGGCACACAAACAAACCGATTGTAAATACGCACGCAGAGTGAGAGAGAGCACAGGCCCGGGAGTCCCTGAGGCGTAAGCGTTTTGAACCACGCGAACGCCGTAAATCCCGTTGGGGGGAAGGGAAAAGACACAAACGGCACACTGTCAAGTTTTCCTTAACCGCATCTGTCTCGCATTGATGACCGATTCCTTCGGATGGACGACGGCACGCCGAGGCTGCGACGTCATTCTTTTATGCGATTCCCTCCCCCCCCCCCCCTCCCCCTCCCCTACCACCAGCAACTGTACTAGTCCACCCCCCAGAAATCCGCCCTCTTTAACCTCAGACCCCTTCAAAGACTGCTGGACTTTTGCCCAAGAAGTTGGGCGGGCATGCGCTCAAGCAGACAGATAGGAAAGCGCGGCCAGTGAGAGTGAGGGGTTGTTGGTGGCCTTTGCGCTAATCATCGCGCGCCGCAAAAAAAAAAAAAAAAAAAAAAAAAGGTCAAGTAGAGTTTCAAGAGGGCGCAGCTGGACAATAAAGAACATTCCAACGATAAGATTGGCAACGTTAGGCATCCCAGTTGAGAGACCTGGGCAGACGGAACGAACGTCGGGTAGCTCGCCAGCATCATAGTTGAGCATGCTTTTGGTCCAAAAAAGCTACTGCCCACCGTCCATTACTTGCGCGCTTCCAACGTGCGTGCCTTGCTTGCCAAATCCCTTCTTTTCGTGCCCCCACAACGTGCAGAAAGAGAAAAGATGTGAGTGAACGGATGGCGTGTACCGAGGCGGGCAGCAAGCGGGAATGACTCGCCTTGTCGATCCGATGTTGGAGGCTCTGATCCGCCCACGCATGTTAAACATCAGCAGTCAGTGGGTGATGATCCCCACGAGGCCATGCCCTCCAGCTGATCGGTGCTCGCTCCGCGCGGGTTGTGGCTGTAGATGGAAAGTTGCGCGCGTACAGACACTTTGGGGGTTCAGCGCGAAGAAAAAAAAAGACCATCGATTTAAAGTGCACTCCAATCGCCAAACTGTCCTATCGAAGTATTCCTGCCTGCGTGATGAATTTACCCATCCCTAAATGTAGAAAGAAGCAAGAAAGACCACCAAGATCTGGGCCAGAGCAAGGCGTATTGGGGGATGCGAGAGGGATGAGGGGCTGGATTTGGTAAGAGGGCATGGTATGAGGGAGAACTTTGGGAATTGGTGAACAGAATATGGAAGGGGGGAAACACAGCCCGTCGACTTGCCCATTCGTCCTCCTCGCAGTCCCCAACCAAGATATGCCTAGAAGCCCGGACCGCCGCGGCCAGATGATCCAATCCAAACCTTCTTTGTCGCTGAACCAGGAAGTGCAATCCATTAATTCGCGAGGAACGACCGTTCTTGATCGGTCCAAAGCTGTGACTGATCAAGACCTAAGCGTGTCCAATGCCATGCGCGCTGCAAAAAAAGGTCCAAAATGCCGTTCAAAGATGGAAACCCAGAACCGTTTGCGCGCGCATCTGGATGGCAAGAGAAAATGTCCAAGCCTGGTTCTCGGCTTTTCCGCTCGCCGCCAGAGCCAGAACTGGGTGGGCATGGCGGGAGGAAAGCAAGACCCATGCGTCAAGGGGTCCCACGATCAAAGCACAAGACACTTGTGTGACTTCTTCTTCGGGGCAGGAGGCTCCAGAGCCGCAACAATTGCCTGGGGAGGTAGTATGTTAGTAACAGATCTAGAGCTGCGACATATGCAGGTGTAGGAGGGAAAAGAGCAAAACAACAGATCCAACGGGAGAATGCATACCTCGTCAAAGACGTCCTTCAGCTTGTACTGCGTCAGAGCACTGCACTCGACGTACTTGACCGCACCCAAGTCCTTTGCCATCCGCTCGCCGTCCTCTTTCCGTACCGGAGACATCTTCTGCTTAGAAAGCTTCTCGCGGACGCTGGGGTCCTCGCGCAGATCGACCTGGGTGCCGACGATAAGGCAAGGGACGCCGGGGCAGTGGTGATGTACCTCGGGGAACCACTTCTCGCGGACGTTCTCGAAGGAGGCAGGTGATGTGACGCTGAAGCAGACGAGGAAGACGTCGGTCTGGGGATAGGAAAGGGGGCGGAGTCTGTCGTAATCTTCCTGACCGGCGGTATCGAACAGTCCCAGTGTGTAAGGCTCGTCACCGATCCTGCGTAAGAGAAAAATCCACCATTAGCGAAATGGCCTACCAAAAGTCCAGCAACTTCTCGTCTCTTGCGGCTTCTTTTCTCTCTCGAATCCCCATTGTTTTTGATTCATCCACTCGTCGGCTCATCCGCCCTTTGACCATCTCTTGAAAAGACCCTTTTGTCTATGCTTTGTGGAACCCGATCTTGGATTGTTTTGGAGGTGTTGCAGGAGAGGACTCACATAACAGTGACGGCATAGTTATCGAAGACGGTCGGAACGTATTCGGAGGGGAACTTGTTCGTCGTGTAGCTGATGAGAAGGCATGTCTTTCCGACCGCACCGTCACCGACGACAACACACCTAGAGGAGGAGAGAGGGAATCAGTTTTTGTTGCAAACAGAAGTGGCTAGTGACATGCGCGCTTTGATGGCTGCCCATTTGCCGATCGTCAAGTTCAAGTCAGGATTGGCAACGGTGAAGGGAAGCCTTCCCAGCGACAGGGAGCAGTGGAATCCGAAAGCAACAGCGACGATGCAGACAGGGCAGAAGCAGCAGGCAGGCGAAATAGTGGAAAGGGCGACGACAAGCCGTCAGGTGTCAGGTGTCGGGAAGGGGGGGAAAGTGAGAAAATGAAGCCTAGCGAAAAGAGGCTCAAAATGTACGCACTTGATAGTAGCGACGACCATTGTCTAGATCAATGATGTTCCTGTGCAGGAACAGAGACCTGTGGAAAGAAAAATTAAGACCGGTCTCTCAGTCTCTCCCTTATCGCGCGGCGCGTCGTGTCGTGTCGAGTGTATTGTCTTGTCGAGGTCGGGGTCGGAGTCGGGTGTGATTTCCAGGCGCAGGTAGTTGGGGGTTAGAGTGGCAGCGGGCAAGAGGAGTCGAAGCGGGTGGTAGGTAAAGTGTGGTGGTAGTGGCAGTGGTAGTGGTAGTAGTATTGGTACGGAGTAGCAGCAAGGTATGGAAGAGACTAGGAGCAGTGGCGGTGGTGGTTGCCGTTGCTGCAGGGCGGAAAGATGAGGTGGGTAGTGGAGACGGAGAACGGGGTCGAGGTCGAAATGGGGGGGCGGCGACGACGAAGGGGAAGAAAAGACGTGGATTGGGTCGGGTGCCGGTGTGGTGGTCTTTTTTTCTTCTCTCTCTCTTTTCGGTGCAGGTGGTAGTGGTGGTAAGAAGAAGGTGAAGTAAGAGAGCAAGGCAAGGGACAAGGTGACAAGGTGACGGCGAGGGACGCCAGCAAGGTAAAGGGAAAGAGTAAGGCGAAGGATAACGGAGCCAAGGCAAGGTAGGGAAGGAGCGAGTGAGAGAAGGAGGTGACAAGGTGACGGGACCCAACCAAAGCACAAGGACGTCTACGCAGTAAGGTATTGTGTACGCAGTACTCCGTATAGTCTGGGAGGTCACAAGTGAGATGTCGGGGATTTTTTATTTATTTTATTTTAGCAAGGTAGCGATGGCGTCGGCGGTGGTCTCGACACACGCTGCAGCGGTGCATCAGCGGCAGAACACACGCGGGAAAGTGGGACACCTCAGCAGACTGCCAGACTGAATCTGGGAATAGAAGGGGGAGGACGGGGTCGGGTAAGGTAGCAGCAAATTCGACCTTGCGTTAGGGGTTTTGAGTTTTATAAACTCCCTGAATTTTCTTTCTTCTTTTCGTCGAATGAGGTCAGCATCTGGGCGAGAGGAGAGCGAGGGGAGAACAAGAAAAGATGAAGGCGTAAGGCAGGTACCTAAAGGTAAGTTGAGTCAACAGACGGGTGGAATTGACGAGTGTCAGTTGGTGTCAGTGTCAAGGCAAGGCGAGGCAAGGTAATGGGAGGCTGGAGGAAGAGAACGTTGCACACACCACACGTAAGTAAGGCAAGGTGCAGAGACAGACGAGACCGAAAGAGCTGTATGAGGCGCGCGTGGTAAGGCATGTGTTGTATGCTGAGATATTGTGCGTCTCGACACTCTCAGAATGAAGACACTCAATTACTATCATGTATACCTCTCATGTTGTCATCTTCGATTCGAATGCAAGGAAACTGAACATCTGCCCTGGGTTGTTTCGGCCAACTATCTACCCGGCGACAACCATATCCACAAGTACTTATTCCCGAGTCCCATCTCCAGGCCTACTGAATGGAAGGACGAACAAAGACGTCCATCATCTATGGCAGTTGACAGCAAGAACCTGGGCAAGAAGTACGGCTAATAAGCACAGGGCAAGTACAAAAGGATGTAGCTGCAGCATATACAGGAACCGTCCCTTCCTGTTTACCCAGGTTCTGGTTCTCAGCAGAGAGGTAGACTCCAAGGTACTTTACAAAACCTCGCAGAGAAGTATCCTCACAAATAATTACTGTCCAAAGCAATTCGGAAGACCTCACGAGGGCAGCAAGCCCCCAATGAGTGACAGGGTCATGAAAAGGAGAGAGATGGAAAGGGGGACCCCTCGTCTCCAATCAATGGGCAGTCGAAAAGCAAGCAATTCCAAAGCCTCTCGTCTCATCTTTTCCTCATCAAAGTGACTTGTTGCTGGACCAAGTGTCTCGTACCTCGTGCCCTGAGCCTAGGCGTCAGGGTGAGCCAGGCTGGGGGCGGGTAGAAATTGAAGAGTGCCCGTGTCGTGTCAGGAGGGTCCCTCCAGGTCTCTGATGTGTTTACCACCACAAGTCCATAACCGCCGCCGCCTCTGCTCTTCTTTGCTCCCGCATCAAAGTCAACATGTTAATTTGGTGTTTGCAAGGCTGGTCTTTGCAATAATTGGGGTTGGAAGGGGTGGTACTGGTCAGTGTTCCAGAGGAATGGATAGCGCCTGATCGGTTGGCGTTGGGGTGCTTGAGATAGCCTGGTGCAGTGCTAGCTGGAGGACATGGCCTAACCCGGAAGGTCAAGAACGTCCAGCCATGTTCCCTTGGTCCTTGGATTGTGTGGAAAGCAGTAAGGTATGTACGGAGTACGAATAGGCACCAAGGTATCGAATAACCCAGTGCAGGCCGCAGACGTGGGTTGATGCCGCTGCTGGATTCTGGAACAAATAGCCTGGTCGGGGGTGAGCGGGGCCTTCTTCACCAATCTTCCTTCTCGCCGGCTTCCATTCCCTTTAATTTGTTCGACGCTCACCTCAACTTCCAGGGGTTACGTAGCCAGCGTCGGTGCCATGCCCCGGTCTGCTCATCTCAGTCTCAAGGGCGAGTCCTCCCTCCTGTGCTTTCCGCTAATATCAGAAGGGAATGAGATGCGGTAGGTATACGGACGGGAGGGCAAGCAGCCACCCATTTGCCCATTACGGATAGGTATTTCGTATTAAGGTGAAGGAGGCACCAAGCCAACCCCTCATGCGCTTGTCTTGGATACCGAGAGGTGCGTTTTGTTGGTGCCATTGCCGATGTTGCCCGATACAGCGTACAGCGTAGTTCTGCCCACCCCATCCGCACCAAGAACCTGGCCCAACGCTCTCCAGCAAGTGCCAGCAAATCTACCCAAGCGGACCTAGGTAAGGTGATAAGGTAGGCGCGTGGCCACGATGGTGATGAGTTGGACAAAAGTCTTGGGACCCTCGGCTTGATGGTTCCGTCTGGCTCGGGGTTGAGGGCGCGGGGCATTCGTAGCTTGCTCCTCGTCTTCGTCTTGATCCTTCACCGCCCTCACTGACCACTTTTTTAACCCGTAAAGAGTGGATCGTCCCCCCGTCTTTGAAAGAGCGGCATCCGCTGGCTTGGGTCGAGCTGAGAAGATCTTTGGACCGGCTTCGACTCCAGCAGCAATGGCGTTGCAACTTGCGACTGCTTCTGGTAACCAAGGGACCAAAGCCGCAAGCTGTTTGTGCTTGTGGTGCCAAGTGGTGTTGCGTCTACTATGTAGCGTACCCGAAGTGTCGAGTTTTGACAGTCGCCCAGGTGAGGTATCCGTACATTGAGAAACCCTCGTCACTTCTTTGCACATTGTGTAGAGGGACTTGGGCCTGAGGCGTTAGAATTCCGTTCCCCACCATTCTCATGTTGCAAAATGCATGTGCTTTTACCTCTGTTGAAGTATACGTAACTACGTACCTGGTAAGCTTCGACGAGGAAGATGCAAGTGCAGAGGTAGGCAACCACCTGCCTGCGTCTCTACCAAAGGTGTAATAAGGCACCTTAAGGTACACTTTTAATCCGCGTAAGTACGCTCGATTCGTCTTGGATGAACGTCTATGGCGGGCAGGAGACATCATTGCTAAACCCTACTCGGTCCATCGTCCAAGCTTCTGCAGCAAGTCCCAAGTAGCACAGATTTAGAGTACTCCTCCACCAGCAAAGCACGAGCATAGGTAACTTAAGGTAGGCACTGTGTGTGCATCACGGTCCCGGCATCACGCCAGCGAACCCGCATATTGCATTGGCCTTTCATGGTAGGGACGCTTCCCAACGCACATCTCGCCAAGTGCCGTCTGCCAACGGTTCAATTGTCTCTCTCGCACCTACCATAGAGGGGTCATTCTCGTCCAACTAACAACCCTTTTGCAGCGGAGCGAGGTGGAATGTGCCCATTCCCATCAGTGCTGTATGCTCTTGCCACTTTGCAGAGACGCCTTTTCACCAGAACAATATCAGACGATAATAGCCCGGCACCTTGACATTTACTCCATAGATGAGGTAGGTTTCCTCAACGCATAAAAAAGAAAGGAATGCCCTCATGTCATCAACAACTCAGCTCAGCCCAAGTTTGTCCAGCAGAGTTTTCACCAAAGTTTGCCTGATCTATTTTTCTTCACGTAACCGTCCCATGCCTCTCTCCCCTTCCTAGGACCAATCCGTATTGACGCCTCCTCATATCAGCATGGAAATCGTAAGTTCAACCACAAACGTCGGCGACCTCCCGCCACTCGCGGCCTGCAGCGGCCGTTTATCGAGATGGGAAGGGGCACCGGATCCAGACCATACATTGCTGCTCTTCGTTAATGCTGCAATGCACTGCGGGATCTAAGCTACTGGGCCCCACCGTCTCAGACCGACACTAATTAATGATCGACCTGGTTCTGAGATGGTCTTCTCGGGCGGATCCGCACCTCCATCGAAAGCAACGCGGACCCAGAATAACATGCATTTGGGTATCGACTACTCGACTTCGTCTTACGGTTCACATCGAAGCATGGTCGTGAATGCCCTTCAAGTAAGACAGGCGTGATAATTACGCTGTCGTGCGTCAGCTGTCATTGCCACATCGCATAAAAAGGAAAAAATACCTAGGCCGGATAGTACTTGGAAGCGCGGACTGACCCTATGTGTGGCTCGTTGACCTAGAAATCAAGCCGGCAATCCCTTCTTTGTCTTCGGCTCGACCACAAGGTCTTGAACCTCGACGTTTGACACTGACACGCCGCCATTTCGTCGCTCGCTCCCGGCGTGCCGTGCCAATTCGATTTCAATCCCTAGCAAGTCTTTCTTCTGCAGTTTGCCGTCCCGGATGCTAAGGTACCCTCGCTTCGCGCTGTCAAAGTGGGCATCGAAACACCGTCAGGCCCGCGAAGTAGCCCTGGGGTTGGACGATGCCTTCCAAGCCATATGGACGACACGCGTTTGAGGCAGTCTCTCATGTACAGGGTATAAGCTAGACGGGAATCCGCAGCCTTCTTTAATGCTTCGATCCATCCGTCGCTCACGCTTGGCGCGATGGCCCGGTTTGCTTCCCGTTTTGCATTGCGTTGTACGAATACTGTTCTCGATTATTCCTCATGGTCTTCGGCCGAATCTCATCATTATTCCGAGCTGCGTTCAGAAGGCCAAGCTCTGAGTGCCTATTTTCCGACCATCCTCCTCAGTCCCACCTACGTTCATCGCTCAGGGTCCTGCGAGATAGATCACCGGGATCACCGACATAAAAGGACTATCCCCGGCTCGTGCTCGACAGATTGGCGCTGACAACGGGGAATCCAAATAGGTCCCCAACAGGCAGTTGGACCCCATGGCGGCGTCGGTCTGCGTGGCCATCAGTTATCTTCATTTCTGTCCATCATGTCTCCCTTTCAGACGGCATCCTTCCCTGCTGGGCGCACGGGAGCATTCGACAGCAAATCGTATCCATCAATGTCGAAAGCTGAAACAGGAAGCTATGCCAGAAAGGTCGCATTGGTACGAACGCATTACAAACAACCACCAACCCGACGGCCATCCGACAATAAAAGTACATTGGCAGGGCATGACAGGACCCCAAAGGACCAAAGGAGAGATGTATCCGTATTACTGAACCCATGCTCTCCATCCATCCGTCTTTGTTCTCGCTCTGTTTGCCGCCGAGCCTCGACATCGCCTCAATCCCTTTGTACGTGTGTTCTCACGTCACCGTTGCTGTCGCATCAGGTTTCCTCGCACGCTTGTTTGCTCAGCCGTTTTCTCTCTTGTCTTTTTTTGGGAAGCTTTGTCTTGGCAGGTGGCATTACCCGTTGGAATGTCTTGACCGCGGGATCGTCGCATGTCAAGAACTTACACGGGGAGTTATTTTGATTAAAAGTCGCTGGGCTGGCGGCTCAAGGCGGACAAGCCCAAAGTAGAGTGACTTGACAATAATTATATTAGAGTATTGTTTGAGCGACGAAAAGGCGCCAAGGATGGATGAAGTAAAGTATAGGTACCGATTGCCGCAGACTCGGGTATTGCAGTCCCTATCTAAGGTACCTACGCAGTAAGGTAGCTCAGGGCTACCCCTGCATGATAGTGCCGTTCCTCTGCGCAGATCATCACTCAAGCCACAAATCTCCAACGCATGTGAGGCTACAGCCAACAATCACCCTCATGCATAGCCCTACGGGACCATCTCATCTTCATCGCTCAGAGTCAGCTGCATAGGCAACCTCGGCGACACAACACGACAGGTCTTTACCTACCCGTACATGCTTCTGAGTCCCCTTCAGCCGCACGCCTCAGCCACAGCAGCCCGACCCCTTGCATCTTTCAACCTCTCCCATAGCGCTTTGCTCACCTTGAACCCCGGCCGCCACATTCTCATATCCCACACGCCTCGCAACTCACAACCCAACACGCCAAGGCAGACAAGACAATGGAGACGAACCACATCGATGGCCTCCTGGAGCGCTATCTCATCCTGCTGGACGAGTACACGGCCTTGCGCGAGCGCCTCAGCGGGACTCAGGCGGGCATGTATCAGAACATTGCACGAGCCAACTTCTCCGCGGAGAGGGGCGTCCGTTACGGGCCGGATTACTACGACGAGCGCATGCGGGCTTCGAGGACCCTCGAGCTGGCCGTGGATGACAGGGGTATCCCCCGCTTTGAGGTTGTCAAGGTTGTGGAGGGGGCTGATGCTGTGACGGAGCCGAAGACGGAGACCACGGAGGCTGCAGCGGCGGCGGCGGCGGCGAAGAATGATGATGTCAATGAGGCCCCGAGCGTGGAGCCGGAAGGGGTAACCTCCGTTGATGAGGAGCAGACGGAGAAAGAGGCCGGGAAGAAGGATGAGGCGGAGAACGAGAAGGAAAAGACGAAGCAAAAGAAGAAGACGAAGAGTAATGATCCCCTCCGGTGGTTCGGGATCCTGGCGCCGATGCCTTTGAGGCAGGCACAATCGCTCTCGGTGCAGGCCGTGCAGGACATCATCCCCCGGTTAGTCTCGGTGGACGCCGAGATGAAGGATATCGAGATCGAGGTCCGCCGGGCGAGGAAGAGGCGAGCCAAGGCTGAGGCTGCGGCGGCTGCGGCGTTGAAGAGGGACGATGTCGATGAGGGCGCGGAAGCTGTTCGGCATGAGACACAAGCCCCGATGGCTGCGGTCTGAGTTGATGTGAGGGGGTTTCATTTCTTGTATCGATGGAGATTTCGATATTGGTCTGTAGCCATCAATGTGAAGTTTTCTTCCGAGCCGGGAAGACTATGAACTCTGCAACCCCTTTGTTCCTCGCGAGACCTTCGCCTAGGCTGTAGATTATGACTGTTCATTTCAAGGCGATAATTTGAAGAATTATGAACCTACTAAATCACCTTACTTGGGGATAACGACATTTGAGCGTGATTTTCGTTCCCTGCCCCGATTACTCTGACATTCAACCGCAGTGCCCCAGAACGAACTTCCTGAGTTGCAAGTCACTTCGTACAATAAGTGAGATAGAGGGAGAGAGAGACGCTGGTTCTTTCTTTATTTTTTTCCTTATTAACTTTATGAGTCAAACTTGGTATAGTATTCCGTTACAGTTAGCTCAACTGAATTTTGGCACTACGCAAGTCGTACAACCCATATTTATATGTGAGGGTGGTTTACAGAAAATCGTTGTTAATCTCATTGACGCATCAGAGTACCTTAGTCGATGGATATTCTCATCCATCAACCTCGCGGCTTCATGGTTAGATTCTCTCAGCATCATTTGAGCGGGTAGTCACTCAAATCTTTGCTGGCTAGATGGAAATCTCTTGTCACGTATGTCTGCGCACATGGATTCGCCGGTTACAAATGATCTGGTTGTCTACGAAGCTGTAAAACTAGCGAAGTCTATCTAACGTCTGCAGCACATCGTCCAAGGACTCCCTCAGCGGGTCATCCGAGCCCACGTGCTTCTCAAGCTGCCCAGCTATGCCCAGCACGGCGCTCGTGGAGTGTACGTAGCGCTGCCTCATACCATACGGAGCACCCACCAGTAATGCGGTGGTGAGCTGGAGAGCCGCGATGTGAGCCTCCTGTACCAGCGCGGGCTGCTTGGCTTCGGGAGCGTGCCAGGCGGCTACAGTCGTCACGAGGGCCATCCACTCTTCCCTCGAGCCGGTTTCCTCGCCCTCCACGATCGGCAGAAGGATGCGGACAATCTCGATGGCGCGCGCGGCTTCGCTTTCGTCACTTGACGTGGTTGTGGACTGTAGGATGGCCACGAGGTCTTTGGTCAAGACGTCCCAGCCGTTATGTGTCGTGAACTCCTCCAGCCCAGCCTTCTCGACCAGCGTCCCCTCCAGACCTACTAGGATTGGTGATCGGAAGTCGAGACTTGACGGTGAGCTCGACTTGTAGAGGTCGAGGAACATGTCGGTCAGCCCTGCTCCTTCCTTCCTCAGCAAGTCGTTATCGTCCTCGCGAAGCCAGATGGCCAAGGCTTTGACAGCTGCCAGGATTAGAGGGTCCTCGTGAACGTTGCTCTTCTTTGACTCCCAAGAGATTGTCAGTCTCTTCCCCATGGAGGTGTCGGTCTCCTTTGCACGCGCTTCGGGGTGTAGACCAAAGGCGCCTGCCACGGACGCATCCCACCTGTCTCGGAGGAACTCGATCGCGAGAGACAGGGCCTCCGAAATGGTCCGACGGATCTTTAGTAGAAAGTCGGGAGGCATCACTAGCGCAGCTGACGATGAACTCTCATCGTCGAGGCTCTTCACCAGATAGCCAATGAAGTGCGTTGTGACGTCAAAGGCCGAGCCCAACCGTTGTGCGATGGCTGGGTAGATGGGATCATTGAGAAGCTCAAGGAGGCGGGGAAGGCTGGCTCTGGTGTCGGTAAGGAGGAGAGTGATGAATAGGTACGAGAAGGGCTTATCATCCTTCTCATCGCTGGTGAACAAGAGTTTTGATGCTTCTGAGGGGTATACCTCAAGCAAGGATGCAGCCGCAATGGTATAGGCGTTCCTTGCCTCTGGCGTAGGCCGGCTGGCCAGAAGTTTCTTGATGAAGTCTGTGGATGTTTTGATCCACTTTGGATTCGATGGTAGAGACTATTCAAGTGTAAGTCAGCTGCCTGTATTGTCGTAAAGGGGAAGCTACCTTGGGATCTGAATTTCGCAGAAATTTGCCGAGGAACTCGAGCAAAGTAACACCATCCGTGCCGTTGAACGTCGACACCAGAGCTCGAATTGTCTTGTCTATCTTGGACTCCAGGACGATCCTGTCTTCTGCAATGTCCATGCAATTGATCCAAGCAAAAGAAAAGATCTCGAGAGCAGATGGGTTGTTTGGGGCGACCTCAACCAGGGGAGTTACATCCTCGATGTCGAAGAACACCTTTGCTCCTTCAGGAAAAGCGGCCATGGTGAGAAGGGTCTGAATAATCATTTCAGAAGTTTCTCCAGAGCTAGATATATTGTAAGTGTGTATACCAAAGTTTTTTCTGTAGGATAGTGGCATACCTTCGTAGCAAACTGGACACCAAAAGAGGCATTCTTCCAACAAGTCGTTTGTCTCTTTTCGCTTGATCTGGCAGA